ATTATAAATTTATAAATCAGTAGACAGTAAAATTGTGTGATATGTGTGCAACTGTTTTCCCAAGAGGTGAAGAATGGGGAAGAAAAATATTTAAAGAAATAAGGATGTCAAATCTCCAAATATGGTGAAAGATTTTAAGGTCTCAAGAATTCTACCTCCTGGAGGATAAATAAACCCATGGCTAGGCACATCCTAGTCAAATGTGGAAAACTAAAGGAAGGAGGAAATCTTAAAAGACAGAGAAAAGCGCAAACAGACATAAAATATCAGTTTTGAAGAACTGAGATAAAATGAGGCCTCTGATTATATGTGATGTAAAGACCTTTTTGTGTTACAAATATATAATATATATTGAACTTTTCCCATATCTCGACACCTTGCCCATGCTGAGCATCAAGCTCTATCCTATAGCGACCTAGACTCTGCCTGCTGAACAATAATGCAGTGCTGCATAGGTTCTCCCGAGGGTTGGGGAAGATGAGGCCACACTCTAGTCACTTTTTCCAGATCTATAAAGAGAAATTAAATCAGGTCCTTTGTCACTTGCTCCTTGCAGGATCTCTAGCTTATTACCATGTGTCTCTCTACAAAGCCCACTTTCTAAGGAGCATACCTCCTTGCCCATGTTCTCTGGGACCTGCTCCTCAGGAGCGGACTGTCTAGGAAAGGGGGTGACCATGTAAAAAGTGGCTGGTATCCAAACCTGTGCACTATGTGCCGCAGTAAATGGAAGGGATAAAGTGAAGTCCTCCTATCCCTGATTTGGGGAGTTCCAGAGGAGCGTGATGCCTCTCCCTGTGTGGCAGGTCCTGCTGTCAGCCCCACACGTGGACTGTTACCTGAACTTCACAGTACGTCTACAGTGAAGGCCCCATGAAACTTGAACACTGAGGCTAATTTATCCACGATGACACCAGGTCAGTTGGGTTCCAAGTCCGAGTTCTAGACAGCTAGCTCTAGGTGTCCAGAGGCTGAGAAACAACCTGACTTATTGCCTAAGGTAATGTGGACCACAAGCCGCCACAGAAGTTTCCTCTTGAAACCTGAGACTGAAGGAAGAGCCTCTGCTCGGGCTGCCATTATCTTTACCTGGGTGCCTTTGCTCTGTCTGGGAGGTAAGTGCAGGCTTCCAGAACTAAAGTTCCAGTCACATGTTCAAACGTCACATTTTTCATAAAACTCAATTTGGTATCCTTTG